CCCCACTCAGGCCCTCCCACTCTCTCAATCATTCTGAGGCTGCCACCCCTGCGCCATGAGCCATCTAGGTCCCTGCCCCAGCCCCAGCCCCACTTCCACCCTCACCATTGGAGCCCTGATTTGCCACCCCCTGCCCCTTCCCTCCCCCATGCTCTGCCCCCTATTAGACTTACCTGAAGGGAGCTGCTGCCCAACTGTATCATGTGTGGCCATGCAGCTCCACAGGACCAGTGCTGGGGGGGAGGGGGTTGGGTGGCTATAGCCCCCCCAAATTCACCTTAGTGCCCCCATAGCCACCTCCTAGCACCACCACCTACCCACAGAGACACGGCACTCTCCTGGCCCAGCCTGGCCCCAGCCCTGTCCCCTCCAGCTGACTGGATGAGAAGTGGGGAGACAAAAACGATGCCAAGTTTAAAACTGCAGCTTTCACTTCCTTGCTGATAAGGCTCTGGGGGGCCCTGATTGATAGTGGCCCCAGAGCCTGGGCCCAGCTGGCCCATCCATTAATCTGCCTATGGGGAAGGGAGGTGGGCATGGCCATTCATGCCACTGCTGCAGAGGGAAGGACCAGGCCCCCCACACAGTTCAGGACCCTAGGCATGTGCCTGGTTTGCCTATTCATTGATCCAGCCCTGCCCACAGCCATGGACACTGAGTGCCAGGACCCAGCTGCAGCTGCCCTGGGGGGTGTGAAACCCTCAGGCCTAGAGGATCATGGCTGCCACAATCTCCTAGGCTCCTAAGTACATGAAACCCCTGATCTTGGGAGATCACAGCAGCCACAGTCCTCCAGGCCTGGGTGTTTCACGCACACCTGAGGTTGGGAACTGCAGGAGCCTGCTTCTTGAAAGTGCAGTGATATAGCAGGAGGCTTGGAGCTCCTGCTACTTTAAGAGCAGGCAGGTTGTGGCTGAAGCAGGCAGGCAAAATAGCAATTAGGGACCATGCCTGAGAAGCAGCCTGCAGGTGTGGACAGGGCTGACTGTGGAGTTATCTGACTCAGGAGCAGGGAAGGCCTTAGAACAGATATAAGCTCAGGCCCTGAGTTGAACCAGCAGTAACATGTTGGAGGCTGCTGACGAAATATCTACTGAGCAAGATGGTTGCAGCTCTGGAAGGCTAGCAAGGACAATGCAGCCTGCAGCAGGCTGGAGGTTTGGGAAAGAACTGAAGGGGTGGAGGAGGATCCTGGGGACCTAGTTAGTCCATAGCTTGGGGAAGGTATGAGTGTGAGCCCAGAGCCTGGGGAAGGGATGAGTGTATGAGACCTGAGGGGGGTGGGTCTGGGATCTAGAAGGAGGCCGAGTATAAGACCTGAAGAAGGCTCCAAAGGGGTTTGGGGGAGACCAGGGATCTCACTGGCCAAAAGTGGGATCAGGGCCAAAAGGGGACAAATCTCCAAGAGGACCACTACTGAGACTGGGGGCCTCATTTGCCTGAAGCGGGGGCAGGGCCAGGAGGCCCAGAGGAGATCAGACTGAGCCAGGGCCAAGGGGCCCAGAGGTGAGCACAAGGCAGGGACAAGGGGCTCAGAGGTCTGCATCCCAAGAGGGGCTAGGTATAGAGCTGGAAGCCCGTGGCCCAGAAGGGGCATATGAGATCAAAGGCCAAAGCTATGACACCACCCTGGAGTAGCCAAGAGGGAGAAAAGTGCCCAGGTAGGAGATCTAGGCCCTAGAGACTGAGGTCAGGTGAGTAGGACTGAAAATCGCACCCTACTGAGGTTTGAGGGTCACAGTGGTGGGACTACTTCTGGTGGGGCAGCCCCTACAAAAGTTCAACTGGTGCTAAACCCCAGGTGAGTATGGGATGCCCAAAAAAACCCAGCTCCCACTGCTTTGTGGACTACCCCTTGGTAGGG